CACGGCAGAACCCGGATCCACTTGGATTCGGTTGACTTTGCTAGAGCCAATGTACCCAATGAAATATAAGGGTCGATCATGGTTTGAGTTCTTTGTCTGCATATCCTCTTTAGTGAAGGTAATGCAGGGAAGGTTTTTAGCCACTATATTGCAGTGTTGAATTAACGGTTCTGGCTCTTCAAGTACCGGCTTGATCCGAGTAAGGAACACTTCTGAATTGTCCAAGGCTTCTTGCAAGGCTTCCCTGATTTTTTTAGACAACCGTAGCAACTCATACAATGTTATCCGTGCAGGAATGTTAGCTAGTTGAGCCATAATATCGAAGACGTGCGGAGTGTTCGAGCTTTCCGGTTTGTCTCTTCCAATCGGACGATTGAAACGAGACTGCTTCGGATTCTGAACCTCCTGGGGCTTCTTTTCTTTCTGTTTATTAACCGACTGTCATCGAGCTTCTTCAACCGGTCTAGGAGTCGTAATCACACCCAGCTCCGTGAGAGTTCTGGCTGGTCCTTGCTTAGTCACCCCCTGCTCAGCTAACTGATCACTAGGTGATGGATAGTTAAAGTGATACTGATTTCCGCTTCTCGTGGCAAAGACTTCTTGTTCTTCTTCGGAGAGCGGGAAGGTAGGAGCTTCATTACCATCCTCTTCGAAGATCGCGGAGGTAGCATTGCAGGACTTGCCTTTACCCTTTCTGGTCGAGGAAGTCGCCCACTGATCGTCTTCAATAAGATCAGGATGGACCCAGAGGATTTCGCCGTTTGGGGCTGTGTGTGGCACAAGTCCTTTTTGACGTTGTCCATATGGGTCGTCATTCACCATCTTCATTCCTACTTTGGTGATGCGTTCTGGTTCAAACCATGCTGTGGGCACTGATCCAAAACTAATTGATACTGCATTTGCTCTGACATTCTTCGACGGCTTCGGGGTTATGACGCTTACGTCAATTAACTCCTGGATCTTATCCTTGAGATGGTAGCATGACTTGGTAGGGTGATGGACCGCTCTATGGTATGCGCAATACTTCGGATCCATCACTTTGCTAGCCCCTTCTTGGTCCACGATCGCCGGCAGCTGGATTTTGTTATTTTCCAACAGGTACTTAAAGATGCCGGGAACTTCGTCATCTTTGAAGGAGTACACTTTAGGAAATCTTGGCTCCGAAGATTTCTGCTTCTGAGGCCGTTGTTGCCATTGCCCCCGAGATTGTTGCGATGCTTGTTGCTGCGGCTGTTGCTGAGGTTGTAATTGGAAAGTCTGATTAGCATCAAGTGTATTAGCATGTGCCTTACCTTTTCTTCGTGGGACGAAATTCTGTTGCGGAGCATTCGTCGCATGTTGGCCTCTTTCCGCCTTCTTCCTTCTGAGGAATCGCTCGGCTTGCTCTCCCTGGACCTTCAAATCCTTTCATGTTTTGGACAGTGCTGTCCCCATTGCTTCCAACACGTCTAATGCGAGGTTGTTGTGGCAAGTCTGGAGAATGAACTCTTCAGTGATCGGGTCCCGATAGTTCATCGCCTTGTTCCGGAACCTTTTGACGAAGGTATCAACTAATTCCCCGTCTTTTTATTTCTCGTCAAGCAACGACCCGATGGATATCTCGGTGTCGTCGTCGAAGAAGTTAGTGAGGAATTTAGTCTCCATGTCGTCCCAGCTATTCACACTTCCTGGCTTGAGGCGGCGATACCAATCGAAGGTGGCTCCACGAAGAGTGCCAACGAAGGACCGTACCATCAGAGGCTCATTGTCAGAGATAACCCATAGGTGTGATTTGAAGTAAATCAAATGCTGAGTGGGTGAACCATTCCCATCGAACGGCGTGAAGTTAATTAGATTGAACTTCGCCGGATATGGAATTGATTCCCATTCTCTTGGGTATGGACAAGGAATGCCCGTCTTCTTCATCTCTTGAGCGGAAATCAATGTATTAATTTTGCTCTCGAGGTTTTTAATCTTCAAGCTTTCACCTGTGTTTTCGCTAGCATTCTCGTTACCACCCCCTGCATTGATGGGAGGATTATTGGCATTATGAGCTTCATTCGCACCTGTGTCCTCATCTTCCTGATTAACCTGGTTACGACGACTTGGTTCGCCTTGCTGGTTCATCAGTGTTTGGATTTGTTGGTCATGCATTTCTCTCATATTCTGCATGACCATTCGCATTTCGAACTTGAAGCTCTCTTGTTGTTTAGCCATGGCTTCTTCGAGCATCTTGGCCACTTGTTCCGCACTTATCATAAGTGACTCGCGGGGTTGTCCCTCGCTGGATACCATATTATCTGATGTGACTGCAGAGCCGGCATCCGATTCTTCATCTTCTGAAGGTAATCTTGTCCGAATCCTACCATAAGTTGCTCGTATGATGGCTCCAGACTGTAGACGTGTTATACGTCGGGGTGATTCCGGAATCGACTTGGGATTATCCTGTGTCGATTTCCCTTTGCTGATCATATTAGTGGTGACCCTCGGAAATTCTCCGTCTTCAACCACCGTTCTTCTTTGTCGGAAACGCCTAGACCTTGGTTTTGGCGTTTCGGTACCGAGCCTTTCAAAAACCAAAATTCTTTCGGAGACTGTATTGTTGCAGTTGCACTCAGACAATACTGCCCGAATGAGTTTAGAATAGGGGCATTGAGTCTTTAGTTCTCGAGGACTCCTTTTCCTGGTTTTACTTGTACCCCCAACACGGTAGTACAACTCGTCGGTTTGAAGGTCGGAGTAACCTATTGTGTGTTGGCACGACTTCTCAGGTATAACGCTATCGTCATCAGACGACAATGTTTCCTTCTGAGGGCGAACTGCCTTCTTTGGGCTTTCAAGAGTCACGCACCTCGAAACATGCCTTTGTGGGCGTGAGTTCTCAGCGGGCTCCTGGACCTCTATGCGCAAATTGGTGCGCTTAGCTACCATGATCTCTTTGTCATGTTGAGTCGTTCGAGGCTTCTTTATCAGACCCAAACGTTCTTGAACTGGAGCTTTGCATCGTTCATCGGGAAGTGGACCGAGGTGCTCCAAAACTGACCTCCTTCTTCGGGATGGTCCTGCGGGATCTCCCGGAGCAACTACTGGTATTACTTGCATTGAAGGCTGCAATGATTGTTCCTTAGCCTGAATCACCGCTTCAGACTTCAGCCTCCATACTTGGCGGGTTGGTGACGGCTTTTTGGCCACTTTCTTCTGCAGTCTTCTGCGGGCTTCTTGGACTTGAGCCAGTGCCTGCGCTGACAGTGCGCGGCGCTTGCGAATGCGCTCATCAAGTGTTGAATGATTCCGTTTGACACGGATCCATTCATTCGTTAGCGGCTTGGAGGAGCTACCCTTCATTGTTTGTTGAGGCTGTTTGCCTCTCCTGTTCTTCAGATCCGCGTTATAGCGGATTCCGTCAGTGGACTCCATTGCCTTTGCGAATTGCCGCGCCAGGCGTTAACGTCGCCTCTGGCGGGCTATCTTTGAGAGAGTCACTACGCCCTCAGTGGCGGAGGAATTAGCGAGAACAGATTTGACCTGGTTGGAGGTCGGTGGAACTTCACCCGATGCAACTTTGGCATCAATTGGGGTGAGATCTTCGTTGGTATTCTGTACTTCTTCGTATCAACGGACCTTTCTCCTGGAGGAGAACTTCTTGGACTTGAGGGGGGAGGTGGATCCGGACGAGGATGACAGATACTCCTCGAACTTTTGTTGGTCGAATTCATACTCGACCTCCTCCTCGACCGGGATCGAGATCCGCGGCTGCGACGCAACGATCTCGGCAGCGAGATCGGTGGCTCCCACTGTGGTCGCCAGATTGTTCACGGGAAAAATTGTGTTCTTTGATTCCATTGCTCTCTTGAGTAATAGTTTATCGATTACAGAAGATCCGGTCTTTTTATAAGATCCGGTTACAACAAAATCAAAGAAAAAGAGAAAATTACAACTTTCCTTCTTTCGAACAAATCGCAAGATCCTGTTTTGCGGTCTATTGCTTGTGTGGGTTCTTTGCGTGCGCCGGGGTTAATCCGTGGACCACCGCGTGATCTTGATCCGGTCGGATCTACACGGTATGACGGGTGCTATTTCCCGAAGGAAATAACAGCCGAGGGGATTATTTCACCAAGGAAATAATAGCCCTAAGTAATCGAAATCGACCAAGCGAAATCGATACTCTTTTCGGGATCAAAAAACCAAGTTTTGATCCGGAGGATGACCGTGTGGATCTCAGATCTGATCTCTCTCAAACTCCTGCCTTATTTGACGTAGACGATCGCCAAGAACCAGATCTGAAAAGTCTGAGTCTTCAAAGCTCCAAAACTTCAAAGTTTAGTTCTCAATCCGGCAGAGTTTCACCTCAAAAGTTCCAAGTCCCTTAAACAACGAGCCTAGGGGTCTATTTATAGGCTCCTCAAACCAGATCTGGGCTCAGATCTGGGCCCAGATCTGGGCCCAGATCTGGTGGCTCGGCCACTGAGCCACCCAGAGGTGGCTCGGTCAAGGCCGAACCCTCCTGGTGTTTGATTTTTGCCATCTTTTCCGGTCTCGCGGTTTATTCGAACTTCATTGTTGATCTGGACTCTGATTTGGCAGTCCGGATCCTGATTTAGCAGTAAATCCGCTTTGGTGTTGTGGTCTAACGATCCTGCTTGGATATATCGCCCGATGGTTCGTTGGTTTATCGAATCACCGTGCCGAGCTGTGTTAAGGGACCTATAAGCAGTTTTATACGCCTACACTTATAGATGATTTGCAATTGTTGTGGGAGAATGGGGTTGAGGCTTATGATGCATTTAGCAAATCAACTTTTAATTTGAAGACAATGTTGATGTGGACTATAAATGACTTTCCAGCATATGGAAATCTTGCTGGCTGTTCTAAATTTGAAGACAATGTTGATGTGGACTATAAATGACTTTCCAGCATATGGAAATCTTGCTGGCTGTTCTACAAAAGGAAGAAAAGCATGCCCTATATGTGGGAAAAATACACATCATAGATGATTACGCTTCAGCAAGAAGTTTTCATACATGGGTCATAGGAAATTTCTGAAACCCTCACATCCATACCGAAGAAAGAAATCGTGGTTTGATAATAGTGTAGAGCATGGCAGCAAGCCCAGAGCCTTAACATGTCACAATATTTCTGCTGTTCTAAATGATTTTCCAAATGATTTTGGAAAAGGTGGAGACAAAAAAAGGAAAAGGAATAATAATGAGAATGATGGTGATGATGATGAGGATGAGGATGACACAAGTGACATTGATAATCAGAATGAGCTTACTAGGTGGAAGAAAAGATCAATCTTTTTTTCTTTACCGTACTGGAAGGTTGGTGTTCTGTTTTTATTTTATTTTATTTTTTATATATTTTGTTTTAGCTTTATAATTGCTTAATGTATTTCTCTATTTTTTATTTACAGGAACTTCTATTACGTTATAATTTAGATGTGATGCACATAGAGAAAAACATTTGTGAGAGCATAATAAGCACTATGCTGCATAGTGGGAAATCAAAAGATGGGATAAATGCTCGTAAGGACTTGGAAGATATTGGAATTAGGAAAGGCTTGCATCCAGAACAGCGGGGTAGCAGATTGTACCTTCCACCAGCACCACATACATTTTCAAGGTCTGAAAAGAAAAGATTTTGCAAGAGGTTATATGACTTCAAAGGGCCTGATGGTTATTGCTCAAATATCGGGAACTGCATAACATTGGAGGATTGTAAGATTATGGGGCTTAAATCTCATGATTATCATGTCCTAATGCAGCAATTGTTGGCTGTTGCTATAAGAGGATTGTTGCCGAAAGAGCCTAGAAAAGCGATACTTCGATTATCTAGATTTTTCAATAGATTATGCCAGCGTGCTATTGATAGAGAAAAGTTGCTGGACCTTGAGAATGAGATCATTGAAACTTTGTGTCAACTGGAACGCTTTTTTCCGCCATCATTTTTTGATATCATGGTACATTTACCGGTTCATCTAGCAAGAGAGGCACGCTTGTGTGGTCCAGTTCATTTTCATTGGATGTATCCTTTTGAGAGGTTAGATTTTTTTTATTCTTTTTCATGCTGAAATCCATTATGAAATTTTAATTTGATCACGGACAAGATTAAATTCTTTTATTCAGGTACATGAAGACACTAAAAAAATGTGTCCGAAATCCTGCAAGACCTGAGGGGTGTATTGCAGAGTCATACCTAGCTGAAGAGTGCATCGCCTTTTGTAGCGAGTTTCTAAAACAGTCAATACATGTGAAGGAAAAGGAAGTTCGCAATGAAGAATTTGAAAATGATGTCATTTTTGAAGGTCGTCCTATATCTAAGACTACTTCAATCACACTTACCGATAAAGAGAAAGATATTGCACATCGTTCAGTATTACTGAACACAGCAATAATGGATCCATTTTTAGAGTAAGTACATTGCTATTTTTATGTACTTATTTAGTTTGCTTTTCTATTTATTAGTTTTATTTTATAATTCATATGGTCTTGTGTTCTTGTGTTCTATTAGTATGCATTTGGAGGAGTTGCAAGCAAAATACAAACAGCTTGAAAAAAATCAGACCTTACTTTGGAAGCGGCATACTGAGAAAATTGCAGAATGGACAAAAAATAAGGTTATTTAAAATTAATCATCTCAAATCTGTTCTTGTATTTATTACTTAGCTGAGGTACACCATTTAACGCTTATATTAATATTTTGTAGATTCCTATTGACTCGAATGATCATTCAAAGACATTAAGATGGTTGGCATATGGTCCTAAAAAGAGTGCACTATCATGTAAGGGATACATTATCAATGGGCTACGGTTTCACACAAAGGATGTTGACAGGGAAACACAAAATAGTGGGGTGACTTATGATGCAATAACCATGTGTAGAGCAAGTGCAAAAGATACTGCACAAGTGGCTGATCTGGTCTCATATTATGGGATATTGATAGATATCATTTTACTAGACTACCATCTATTTTATGTTCCATTGTTTAAGTGTCATTGGGTTAATAAAGGAAATGGTGTTAAGGAAGAAGATGGATTCACACTTGTAAACTTATAGCAGAGTCAAGTATCATTTGCAAGAGATCTATATATCCTAGCATCTCAAGCAAAACAGGTTTTTTATTCAAGAGAAGATGATTCGTCTAATTGGTATATAGTAATGAAGGCACCACCAAGAGGTTACCATGAGTTGGAGATAGACGATGAGAATGCAGATGCATCTTTTTTGCCACAGGAAATTAAAATGGATATTGATGATTATGAGACAGAGAGTTATGTCAGGGTGGACTGTGAGGGACTACTTGTGTGATTGGAACTAGTTGGTAAGGAGGTTGATTGTTGATCATACTTTAAAGTGTTTGATTTATCTTGTATTATTGGCTGCTACTTTATAATAATTTTGGTGTTGTTCATGCTTTAAATGTGTGTCACTGTGTTTATTTGTGATTTTGATATATGTATAATTTGTTTCACATATGAAACCAGGTTTAACTATATAGATACTTACCTTTATTTTTTCTAATACAGATAAACGAGGATGGTTGGTGAGACTACAAAGACAGGTCAGCGTAAAAGGAAGAACAGTATTATGGTATAGTTATCGCATGATCATATGCCTATATTATCCTTTTACAGGATTTATTGTTGGCCCTTAGTTGATACATGTAGTTGTAACTACTAGTAAATTTACAACAGAAATAAATCTTTTTTCTCATCCTTTGTTTGCAAAGCTTGTGTGGTTCAAATTTTTAGCAAAAATGGCAGGTGAACAAATAGTCATTATATTAATATTAACTGACCCCCCCCCAAAGTAAGAACTTCCGACACATGTTGTCAACCTTTTTCAACACCTTTTTTTGGTAAAATATAGCTTAAAAACCAAAACAACAGAACCCCAAATGCTAAACTCCTTAGAAGTTGAAGTCTACTTGCCTGCATAGGAGATGTTCTTATTTGAGAGGTTTTGAAAAATTGCATTCAATTTAGAAAACAATGGAGCACATTCAAGATATGACAATCTCTTACACAGTACTAAGGGAGCTCCCAGGTATCTAACTGGAAATGAGCCTTCTAATCTCTGGAAAGCCCAACCCATCCAGCATAGCTGCTATGAATCCCCAATCAATACCGTCATAAGCTTTCCTTGTACCAACGTTCAGATGTACTCTAAGTGAGGCCAAAACCTTTGCTGATGAATCCCCAATCAATATCGCAGCATATCGCACTATAAGTGAGGCCAAAACCTTTGCTGATAAGTATATTTCTATATAGCTGTATATTTGTATTTATTTATGAAATTAGGTTAGAGGTGAACCTTTGCTGATAAGTTATTATTGTTTGACCCTATGGCACAGTTATAGAAATTGTGGCCATGATAATATATCAATACGTTTTTTTGTCAAGTTTAAATTTTATGGTATTCATCATCTCAATCAATTAGATGTTGGAATAGGGCTAGTGCCCTGATCCTCACTATTGATGGTATTGATTAGATTCGTTTGTGGCGTACTCATCTTGATTGACTTGTTTATTTATTTTGCAGAAAAATGCAAAGGTCATAACCATTGATGGATATGAGGATGTTCCTGAGAATGATGAGAATGCCCTGACGAAGGCTGTTGCCAACCAGCCTGTTAGTGTTGCAATTGAAGCTGGCGGAAGGGGATTCCAGCTTTACCAATCGGTGAGATTATTGTTTCCTGTTAGTGTTGCAATTGAAGCTGGCGGAAGGGGATTCCAGCTTTACCAATCGGTGAGATTATTGTTTGACATGATTTCATCTAATTTTTAATATTGCTTTGGGTAAACATTTATGTTAGCTTCTGATTACTAATTTACAAATTGATAGCTAGAACTATTTTTCGCATCCATCAGTCTAGTATAATAAATAAATTTCTAGACTGGTCACATTTCATTTGTTTTGAGATGTATTCTGGTAATTTTGATGCAAATCATTTAGGATGGTGTAATTCCAGTAACAAACATGGGCTATAGTTACCTTTGGTTGACTATCTAGCAGGAAAAGACTCCTCAACAATGGTGGAATTGACACTGAAGAGGACTACCCATACATAGCCCAGGATGGCAGATGCGACACCTATAGGGTATATAGACTTATTAGATATCATAAGTCCTATAGTTTTTAGGGGATTTAATTAAGTCGTTTGAGGCCAGAATTCATGAAAGCTTAATTAATGATAGTTTAATTGGAGTACTTACTTCTTCTAGGTGGATAATTATGCGAGGGACGTGAATGCCATGGAACAAAGACTAGTTGCTCAAATACGAGCAACAAAGAAAAAGGAACAAAGTCTTAAGCTCAAACCAGACAACATACCATCTTTAGCAATTTGGAAGAAATTTATCAAGACAAAAACAAGTCCAGAGTTTAAGGTATGTTTTTCTGAGATAATTAATCACTAGCTTATATTAAGAAATGTTATTATGATAAAGGACCAATGTCTCCAGGTCAAAAGTGAAAAGTTCAAGGCATTAAGGCGCAGACAAGTCCCACACACTTGCAGTCGCAAGGGAATGGTTCGATTAACAGCTGATATGGTAATACATTATGCATTAATATATGTTTTCTTAAGGCAAAGTTATGAGTATGTCATCAGTCTTTCTTTTTTTAAACATGTATCATTGTAGAAAAGAAATAGTGCAGACCCATCTAGTGTGTCAAGGGTTAAAGCTTGGATCAAAGCTCACACAAAAAAAGATGGTACACCGGTGAATTCATCTGTTGGTGAAACAATTGTAAGGACACTAATTTTCCATCCAAGTGAACATATATTACTTTGCCTTGAAGAACATGTATATATAATGTAATACATATATATGTTGTACCTTTCAGGATAAGCTTAAAAAAATTGAAACTGCTACACCTTCATCCTCATCAACTAATGTGAGAGAAGATGCTCTTTCTAAAGTATTAGGAAAAGATAAACCTGGGCGATTAAGAGGAATGGGAAGAGGAGTTACTATAAGCAAAGTATCTTTCTTACAAGCCAGAGACAAACATGTGCTCCAGCTAAAAGAGGAAAATTCTGAATTCCGAAATAGAATACAACATTTGGAGACTGTGGTCCATAAATTAGTTGGAAATCATCAGGTACATCTATATAACTTTCAATTAATGGACTCTTGAAGTTTTATACTTTCAAATAATGGTTTGCTTGTTCTTATGTACAATTTATGAGTTTAGAAGGTTGTATTGTTGATTCTTGTGTTTCTGCTAGTTCATGTAAGTTACCGGTCTTTATAACTAGATTTGCTAACAATTTTGTTCCCGCTATTTTAGTATTTTTTTAAATCCAAGTGTGATTCATGTGTAATTGTCAGCATTGTCAGCATTGTCCTGCAAGTGTGATTCATGTCTATTTGTCAGCATTGTCCTGCAGTTTGCGTCATTTTTATGCACACATGACAAAATCCTTAATTTAATTGGGACTTTTTTCTTTTGGATTTTTTCCACCCATTGCAATGGCATATGCTTGGTTTGTTAGGTTGAAGTCAATCATTTTTTATTTTCAATATTCTCATAGAAGCAGTATAAAATTTATTAATTATTTGTTTGTGAGGCTGATGTTGTATTTTCATTTTATGTTCTTTATATGGGCATTGAATTTATCTGGTTCTATGTTTGATTCATGTCTATTTATGTGATATGTTTTTTTTATCATAATGTAGCTATTTATCCTTCGTATTACTTTTTCCTTGATTTTCCAAACATTCTGTCTCCGATCCACATGTCCTTGTTCTTTTTTGTATTTCCAATTATTATCTATATCTGATCCACATTCTATGTTTCAATATGTTTTTTTTGCATTGTCCTTAGGTGAAAAAATGGAGCATGTACTTGTAATTGCTGGATCTTCCTTTTGTGTCAGGCCGTGTGTGACATTGATCTCTTCATGCTTCTTTGTGCTATGTCGTTTGATGGCATTGATCTGTATTAGCAAGTCCTTAATTTTGGCGGTCTCATGTTGATTCTTCCATGGCAGCCTCCTTTGGTGTTCTAAATCAGTCAGCAATCTGACAATGAAGACAATATATCCATGCAATCGGTAAAATAATTTTTAGCATGCTCATTTACTTTCATTACTCATATTAGTTATCTTACATATAAATAGTTAAGTCGAGTTTCTTTGTTTTCATTGATTGGTAGAGTAAAAATATGAATCATATAAAGTGCAAGATCTTCAATTGGACCGGAAAAGATGAAATTGTTGCTGAAGGTCGTTGGGTTTCCAATGATTCAAAAAAGCTTGTTAATGGCGTTCCTCTCGGACCTAATGCCATGATTGTTTGGGTTGATGTCCCGACAAGTCCTGAAGCTTTTTTATAGAGACCCACACCTGACAAGACATCTATTGAAGATGCTATCGGCACTAAAGTAGCGTGGCCTGCTGACAAGGTTGTATTGGAAAATATCTCAATTAACAATGTGGAATCTACAAACACATCATCTCCTTCGGTAACCTTTTTTTTCTGATACTATCATTATTTTGATATTTGATTGTACTAGTTTCTTTTCTATAATTGATATCACTGTTTTTGTATTGTTGCTAGAGTGTGAACAACTCAAAAAAAAGTGCAACTTGTTAGATATTGCTGGCTCGGGAAAGATAGTTGCTGAAGGACATTGGTCTTCAAGTGATCCGAACCAGGTTGTTCACTTCGTTCCTTTAGGTCCTAATGCTATGCGTGTTTGGGTTGATATCCCTAGGATCCCTAGTGCATCTCTTTGGAGGCAGACATCTGAGTTAGAATGCATTGAAGATGCCGTTGGTACGACAATAGCTTGGCCGTTAGACAAAGTTGTTATGCTTTGAAAAGCTGGTAAGTTATACATAATTATTAAAGAACTTAATATAAGCTTGTGATTTCTAATTATTTGTGCTGTTGTTTTCTATTTTGTGTCCATATAATATTCATGGCTCTAGGATCTCATTATTGGTGCTGTTAATTTTTGTTTTTGCAGCAGTGCTAGTACTCAATTGCTGAAGATGATGAGTCTCCCAAGTCATATGTAATGCATCAAAGTTAATTAGTTTT